AAAACACCATTCCATGTCCGATCTCCTAAATGAAGGTAATAATTAATCGCTGAAAGTTTGTGGCGCTAAATTTTTTTTTACTATAAAATTTCATAGATCGCACGCATGTAGGATGTTCAAAGCTTATTGAGAACGATGATAGAGGAGTTGATAAATACCCGATGTTTAGAACCGAATTTGGTAACTCTATGGCGTTGAAAGAATCTTCAATAGCAAAAGTAATATCTATCCTCAATGAAGAAGACTTTACCTCTATTGTTACTCCAAGTAAACCTTTATATCATCTATTTAATTTTTTTTAATGTTTGATTATGTTTCCAAGCCACCTCCAATCAAGTTTCATATTTTAGGTGGAAGGTCGTTATCTGTTTCAAGTGAAGCACTGAAGAGCGCATGGAGTCGTCTTGGTGAACCGGAGGTAGGGGATTTATTTGGTGAAATGGATGAAGAGTTTCTCCATATAGAGTTTTCACGGAGGAAAAACTTAACGATGCGTCGTCAAACAAGGAAAACAGTTTTTTTACGTCCTTTCCCCACGAAGGAGCAATGAAGACTAAATTCTAGTGAACAATATTGTTAAGACTGTTTATGCATAACTTTAATGTTGGAGTGGACTTTAATGTATTTTGTTGTTAAGTAATTGTATGCATAATGTATGCCTTAATTAAAATATATGGTTGTTGTTAATTACATTAAGCGTTATGATAGTAAATTAAGTTTATGTAGAGAAGAAATGAAATATTTAAAATCAATTAATCTTATATAAATAAAGGTAATTAGCGGCATTTGTATCAAAAACGCCGCCATAGACCTAACTTTTGCGGCGTTTGTATCAAAAAAACCGCCATAGACATAACTTTTGCGGTGCTTGTATAAAAAAATGCCGCAATATGTTCATCCATAGTGGTGTTTTTCCAACAAACGTCGTTTCAAGATAATGATTTAGCGGCATTTTTATATAAACGCGGCAATATAATAAAACTTTAGTGGTGTTGTTATTAAAATGCCGCTATAGAGGGTTACTTTAATGGCGTATTTAAAAAAAACTCCACTCAATATTTGGACATTAGTGGCGTTTTTATACAAATACAGCAATAGATTTAATATTTAGTAGTGCTTTTAATAAACGCCGCAATATAATAGAACTTTAGCGGCGTTTTTAAGAAAACGCCGCTATAGAGGCTTAAGTTAGTGGCGTTTTTAAACACAAACGTCGCGTAATATTTGGACAATAGTGGCGTTTTTTAAGTAAACGCAGCGATAGAGTGCAACTATAGCAGCGTTTGGATTACAAATGCCACAACTTTCTATAAAACCCCCAAATTTTGCGACTGAGCCCTAGCCCTATTATCTTCATCGTATTATTCCCCAATCAGATGCTCAACTTCCTCCATCAACCCTCATATCGGTTCTCCACCATCGGCGACAGTCACAAAGGTAAGAACATCTTCCTCCACCATCGACGACAGTCACAAAGGTATGAACATCTTCCTCCACCATCGACATTTTCGTTCTTATTTCTTTATTTCTCCGCGTTATAAATGAGATAAGGTAAATGTGTTGTATTCCTTTGGTTTGATTTCCTCGCAGCATTTCGTTTTGATTCATTTTGATAGCACTAAATTTCTATTCCGATTTTATGCTTATTTCTTCATTTTGATTCAATGGGCATTGTTCCTTTAATGCATTTTTAGAACCCATGTCCCGAAAAGTTGACTAATTTGATTTAATTGAAGCACCGTGCACACTGGGTCTTTGTATTTTCTGCAATTTGTCCATTGTTTAAAATATTTTCTGCAATTCATCTTTATTGCAGAGGAATTACTCTACATTTCCATTGAAGAGTTTGGTAAAATCAGTGTTAATCAGGGCTGGACATTCTTCAAGGGTACATTCATTATCACTCTGCGTTTTTTCCTTTTTTTGTACATTCATATGTGTTTTGAGTTAAATGTGTTTTACTAGTAGTATCATTAATCTAATTCAATCAGAGCTAGAGAATATTACCTTGATGAAAATTGAATAGAACAATATGGAGAATATTAAAATATGAAGAAGAAAGATAGGAAAACTCTAGGAAGTTGTACTATTATTTTAATTTCATGAGATCATTTCTGAACTAAAAACACTGATTCGTTGTAGACTATACTAAGCACTAACATACAACCAACAAATCAAAAACTAATGTTTGACCTATTTGGATCCAAACCAGATACAAATCAATCAATTCCCATCGCTATAAACAAGCCATTTTCCTTTGGCTCTCACCCGAAGATTACAAGGACCCTAATCTACATTTATAGTAACAACAAAAAGCTGCCCAGAAGTATGCAAAAATTGACTGAAAAGAGTTGCTCAAGGTAATGTTAGTTAGTTGATGACAATTTTTCCCCGTTTAAAGATTCTACAGATTTTCTGCCGCCATGAATGGTGAAGTGAGATGTATAAATCATACAATTTTCCATGTTTGCAAATATAAAATATACAAATGATTCACAGCAAACGACTGTTGAATGTTTAATTTTTCTATATGAATCACCTTAGATAATATATTTTAGTGTTTATCCATCCCTTTTTGCTCAATTGAATTTACATAATTGCGAATCTTTTATGCAGGGATGATATGATATTCCTGACTTGTTAAACTAACAATGGCTTTCTTTAACCTTAACAATAACAACAATCTAACTAATGCCCCACCTTATGTATATTGCTTTTCTCTAGTGCAGAAGATATTTGCAAGGCGTGATTTGAAGCTATTGCTTAATAGTAACAAAAATCAGGCGTTGGATTTTGTTAAGGTAATAATGTCATTATTATTATATACTCTATAGAAATTCAATACTAATGTATACTTACGGTGCACACTTATTTGTTGTATAGGAGAAATTTTCTTTAGATGTCTCTTACAATTATGTGAAGCAAGCATTAGGGAAGAGATGGAGGGACCACAAGAGCTCCTTAAAGAAGAAATAATTCAATAATGATCTCAGCCTAGAAGAAAAGCTGCAAACAGTCCCACCTGGAATGCTCAGGTACCAATAGGAAGATACAGTCAGATTTTGGAGTTCACAAAAAGGACAAGTATGATGTATTTTTCATTAATAATTGTAATGAATTATAATTCATCATTAAAAGTGTTTGTTTGACATTGTAGGACCGAGAGCATGTTGGTGTTGCTAGCATGCAACAACAAAAGTTTACGCACACGGTTGGATCGAAGAGCTTTGCTTGTATAGCTAATGAGGAGGTATTATAGATTATTTACATTGTTTTTTGTATTCCATGTACATACTAACTCATAGTAATTATATTATGGAGCATTGTAGGAAAATACATCCGGTTCTAAAGTTGGCCGAATCCAACTATTCGACATAACACATACGAAGAAGGGTGACTCTCCTATGACTGCTGAAGCTGCAGAAATTATGATATGTTTATTGGGTAGATGTTTTAAATTTACCTGACTTTATTAATATTTGTACCATGACATTTTTGCCATTTTAATTATTTATTCACCTTATTATTAGGAAAAATTGAGGGAGAAAAGGGCGGAGTATCACGCTACTAGTTCAAGTCAATGTCTTGTTAATGACGATGACATTGAAAATCGAGCTATTAATGACGTTTTGGGTCTTGAAAGATATGGCACTGTCAAGGATCATTTGTTACTCCCACGAAATATTTTGGATCCAGTTCATCACAGTACATCTCATCACAGTCTCAATCTTCCCAATTAGAAGTTAATCGTTTAAAACAAAAGTTGGATAATATGGATAAACAAATGGCTAACATGAAAGCGGAAAATGAAGCAAGGGAAGCAGTGGCAGCACAGAGAGAAGCAACATATCAGCAGAGATGTGACGAATTTGAAAAATGACTCAATGATATGATGCAGATGCTACAAAAAACTCAACCTCAAAATCCACCATCATAGTCTCATTTATGTTATCATCATTCTGTTAATGTGATTGAACCATGTTTAACTGAACTTATATTACGTTAATGAAAACTTTTATTTATTATATTGGATTTGATGTTGCTTGTTATTGATATAGAGTTTGATGTTATTGTTGTTATGTTTCTTGGATAATGAAACATGTTGAAAAAATAGATTTGGGGTAATCGACAATAATTTTTTAATTGGTTAAATTCTGTGTTATTTAGCGGCGTTTGTATGAAGAAATGCCGCTATATACCAACTTTTAGCGGCGTTTATATCCTAAAAACGCCGCTATACACCAGACCTATCGCGGCGTTTGTATCCTAAAAACATCTCTATATACCAGTCCTATAGCGGTGTTTGTACCCTAAAAATGCCGCGAAATATCAACACTTATTGCGGCGTTTGTGATAAAAACGCCGCTAAATATTGACACCTATTGCGGCATTTTTAAGACAAACGCCGCAAAATATCGATACCTATTGCGGCGTTTGTTAAACAAACTCCGCTATATATCGTTACCTATTGCGGCGTTTTTTGTTAACAAACGCCGCGAACTTTAGCGGTGCTATTTTCAGCGGCGCATTTTGCTGCATTTTTCATAACGCCGTATGTATTTTTTGCGGCGCTTAAAAACGCTGCTATAGGTAAAAAAAGCCACAAAAAGTCAATTTTGCTGTAGTGAAGGCACACTCTTTTTCCTCCATTTAGGATTAGGGAAGTTTTTTAATGAGGTCCTCGAGATGATTTACTTTGTTTTATCTTTTAATTTAAATTACCATCTTTCAAAAAAAATAACAACTAAAATTAAAATATTCAAAACAACATGATACCGTTGCATAGAAAATCTAGGCTCAAAGCCATGTAAAAATAATTTAAAAATTTTACTAATTTTTCTTAATTAAATTAACATAAAATTACTTGAAAATAAATAAAAAGAAAAAGAAAGATAATAATTTGCATTTGATACAAAACCGCCATAATTTAACCCTTAAATCTTAGTAACATATCAAACTGGTTCCATACTTAAAATTACTTGTTCCATTCAAACCTTGACCTAATCCGATAGCACTGCTTTCTTCATCTTTTCTATTGACCGACTCCCTCCAAACTCAATCTGATTCCTTGGTTTAGCTTTAAACCCGAAACACAATCCCGGTGATCCGATTCTATTATTATCGTCGTCCTCATCATCCATACAATTGTGAACATGTGATCTTGAACACGAACACGAAAAGTAGCTCCTTCGCCTATGAAGTATCTTTCGATTCATGAATGACGAAAAAGAACTGGAACCATGTAACGGTGACCATGATGATGGATAAGATTCGTGGTTTTTCCTCGGAGCAATAAGCTTGCGAAAGATGGAGCCTAAAAGGGTCGAAGGTTTCAGACTCTTCTTCGTCATCTGTTTCTGTTTCGACTTTGACTTCATTGAAGAATGATACAAAGGAGGCGGAGCTAAAGGAGTAAGGGCGGTGTCGGACGAAGAGTGTTTAGGGGTTCCGGGGTGTGATTCCCAATCGAACGGAATCACAACCGAAGCTCCTCCGTAGTAGACCATGGAAGAAGAATTCGCCATGGGTGTTTCCTTGGACATTAGCCTGTTGAAGAACTTGTTGTCATGTTTGATTTGGAGACCTTTGTGGTGGGGCTGAATCTCATGGAAATCGCCACTGTCACTCAACATATTGGTGATGATTAATTGATTGATACTAGTTTGTGTTGAGAGAGTGAGTGTGTTAGCTAACACTTTGTAGATCTCTAATTTCTCAAGATCCGAAGTTAAAGCCTCGTAAAGATCGGAATGGAATATTTCAAGGCCAAATAACATGTTTACTTGTCTAAGTTTGGTAGGTATATAATTAAGATTCATGCAAATTTCTTACATTTTATATTGTTCCTTTATTCTCGATGTTAAAGCAAACAAACTGCATCAGTGGCTCGAACTATAGTAGAGTGGTATTTCAACTCACCTGAATCTTAATTAAATAAGTCTCGGAGTTATTATAAAATTTTAAAGGAGTAGGTTTTAAAACAATCAAGTGTGCAACAACTTCGGTTTATAAAGTTCTAAATAATTAACATTTTTGAAATTTTCGTCATAACCCAAAAATTATATCAACAGAACATTATAATAATAACAATATTCTACTCTATATTGATACTACATGAATAATAGCGATACCTTAAATATAGATATCGATATTTCAAACATAAGTTACTTAAATTTCTTTTAATATTTTTTAAAATATCAATACATCAAGAACAATATCAATACTATTCAAGAATTAACTCTAACATAACTTTAAACATCTCATTTGACGCTCAAATTGTTATCTAAGGCCACAAACATTACTACTATATCATTCGGTGTAATATCTCAAAAACTGAATCAGTAAAATTGAATCAATTGAATAAATTTCTTTGAAAACAATCAAACGGCAACTAATAATAAATTTCAACTAATTGTTTTAATAATCAACCTCTTTTTTGCGATCGATCCGAAAGATTGGGATCTTTTCTTTGGTGCAATTATTTGGAACCTTTGGTTTTTCAGGAATGCTGTGGCTTTTGATAATCCTATATTTTCTGGTAGATCGGTGCCGGAGCAGAACCGGAACCTGATGAGGAGCATGCAACGTGCCACTATGGAGGGTGGGGCTGTTAATCAAGCAGGCAATGTTTCAAGGGGCAGTATCAACTATCAAGTGGGATAGGTTAAGTTGAATACCGAAGGGGCACGAGCTAAGGTGGATGATCGTGCGCCGTGTGGAGGTGTAATACGTGACCATACGTGGAGGTGGTATGCTGGTTTTACGAAGTTCGCTGGTATTTGTTCGATAATTGAAGCAGAGCTTTGGGGTATGTATGTCGGCTTGCTTTTGGCATGGGATCTCGGCTTTAGGCGTTTAGTGGTTGAATCAGATAGTATACAAGCGGTTCAGCTATTCAAGAAACAACAACTCGACAAGGATTCCATACTATCCTTTTATATATCCGTGAGCTTTGTCAACTACAATGGATTATCCCAAATATTATTTCTTCATATAATATATTATCACATGATATTCATTGTGGTAACTTTGAGAGTGATTAGAATATAATAGAAAGGGACTCATGGCGAGTAAGGTAAGGTGAGAGTTTTGGGTGGGAGTAATTGTGTTTCGGTGATCATTTTTAATATTCCAAAGTTCCTTCATCATCATGGCCTTTGGTTAATATTCGATAAATATGGCGAGGTGGTAGATTCATTCATCCCTAACAAAAGAAGCAAGGGAGGTAGCAGGTTCGGTTTTGTTCGCTTCAGCAGATTGGAGGACGCGAAGAAGGTTATCATATGTGTTGATAGATCTAGGATTCAAGGAAATAAGGTTAGAGTTTTCATGGCGAGATTTCAACCTCGTGATGCCTTGGAGAAAGAAGTGTGATGTTGCAAAATTAGCTGAGGTCAAGAGTAGAGAGGAGGATGTTAGTCTTTCAGAGGTTTCCACTGATGGTGTTGTTGACGAGGATAAGCTATTAACTCTTAGAGATAGTTTGGTAGGTTGGTGCAGAAAATTTATAAAAATGAAAGAGTTGGCTGCTATTATGCACAAGGAAGACATTTTTGGTTCGAAAATTATGAGGTTAAGCTGTTTAGCTATTTTAATCATCTTTGAAAATGAGGAGAGTAGTGATTTTACTCTTAAAAATCAGATTGAGGCGTTGAAAAATTGCTTTGACAAAGTGGAAGTGTGGTCGAAAAACTTTCAATGTAGCAGCCGACGGGCATGGTTATCATGCAAAGGGATCCCACCTTTTTTGTGGTGTCATTCAACTTTCAGAAACATTGCAGAAAAGTAGGGAGCTCTTATCTCCATTGATGAAGGGACCTTAAATCCTGGATCGTTTGATAGGGCGTTGTTTCAGATTATTACGAATTGTCAAACTCGAGTGAAAGAATCATTTGAATTGAAAGTAGGAGAACGGATGTTTACAGTTTATGTTTCCGGGTTTGAACCTTGTTTCAGACTAGAATCTATTTTGGAAGATTCGTCTTTGATGGAAAAAGAAGTTGCATCCCTGTCATCCACGGTGGAGGAATTCGTCGGTGTCTCGCCAGTAACGTATTCCGAGTTGGTGGCATGTGCTGGATTGTCTTCTCAAATGGAGGAAGTTCTTGTAGAAAATCGAGTGTTCTTTGATGGAACGTTTGCGGGTGATGGAGCGGGGTGTTCAGGAGCTGAGAAAGTTGGCGTAGTTCCTTGTTCCAAAGAGGTATGGGCTGGTGAAATAGATTCCTCGACATTGCGTAGTGGGACAGCTACGCATGGTTATGTTTGTCAGGGGAGTGGCACGGTTATTGCTTTGGAGGAAGTTGATAGGAAGCACGTTGGGTCAGAAGTGGAATTGGGTGATTCACTCGAAACTAACGTGCAGGTGCATGATGTGTCGACAACGCTATTTGTTGGCTTGGACGATGAAGGTGGAAAGTGGTTTCCAGGTGTTGAAAAAGTAGGCGATGTTTCTAGATTTGATGAGTTATGGGCAGATGATTTTTATAATTATAATTTCCCGTCATTGTCTAGTGGGGCAGCTGTGCGCGATTCAGTTTGTCTAAGGTATCGTGCAGGTGCACGACGTGCCGATCTCGCCTATTAATGGGCTTAAGCTCAAGGTTTTTGACGATAGTATTAGGTGCTTGGATTTTATTAGAGATGATGATCCTAGGCAGACCCAATCTCTTTCCATTTGTAAAAGATTATTGGAGAATTCGAGTGCAGATTTGTTTTCATTCAATTCTGCAGACGAGGTGTTTTTGTCTCTGTCTCCTGTTAGGGTTAACTCTGCTTACTCAAGTGAAAAAGAGTTGTCCTCTAGGGAAAAAAAAGAAAATAAAGAAGCAGAAATTTGGCTCCCTTTTGGATATTCAGGACAAAATACTATCGAAAGCCGAGAAAAAAAGAAGAGATCGAGCATGGAAGAGATTCAATTTGTTGAAATCCAATCTTATCTCCTCTGAATTATCTGGTAGATCCCTTTCTGATTCATATTTGAAGAAAAGGTGGGTTGCTACTTGTGCAGAATCGGGGGAGAAACTGTCTTTAGTTTCCTCGCCAAATTTATAGAATCTTCGTTTTTTATTAATAGGGGATGAGTTTTGTGTGCTGGGAGGAAGACTGATGAAGTCATGATGATATGTTAGAGTTTTAGCAAGTTTGGTGATCAGGGTTTCTGCTGTTGTTTGGCTGCTTTAGCGTTTCTGGTTGATCGTTCTGGAGCTGTTGGAATTGCAGATTAGAGTTTTGGTCGATCTATTTGTGGCCAGTGTAGCTCCCTTGATTTCCAGGATTTAGTGCGAAGTCCGCAGGTCGTTCTATTATTAAGTTGAATTTGTTGAGTTCCGCTTTGGTGCCTTTCCAAAGGAGGTTATGTGGATAGTTGTTTTGCTGCTCTTTCTTATGTGTTTTTCTCGGCTGGTTTCTATGTGTAGTTGTTTTCATAACAGCAGGTTAGATGTTTTCTTTGTATTCTCCTGTATCTCAGGAAGTGTTGTATCTCAGGAGCCAGTTTCTGGCTTTCTGTTCTTTCCACTGGTTTACTCTTTTTTCTCCAATAGATTTAGGGAGGTTTTTTAATGAGGTCTATAGGGTGGTGTACCTTGTATCCTTATCAACACAAAGTACTCGTCTTTCAAAAAAAAATATAATCACAAATATTATTTCTTCATATAACATAAAATTAGATCTTATGAAGCTTTGAATTGATTTTGTATTAGATTAATACGTTTTAATACCATATTGATAACATAAGATACCAATATATTAGTCCTTTGGAGTCTTAAACTAATTTTCTTCCAGAAAAGATTATTTTATTTTTAAATAAAAAATATATATACGCATATAGATGATGTGTACGTAATATTACATTGTCTATAAGATATTATATTTGCATTTGTTTCAGAAAATGAAATGTATTCAACATAATATGTTTAATAATCTAAGTAAACATTCACAAATAACAAATTCACAATGTACGTATACATACATATATATATATATCAATTATTATCTATCACATAATATAAATTTATAACAGATAATATGATAATACATTTAATATTTAATATATTTATATATACACATGCACTGTTAACATGTATTTCACAAAATTATGCAAATTTTATTCGTTATAGTATAATCACTACCGACAACATTGTTGAAATTATTTAATAAATCTTACTATAAACATTGAAAATGAGTGAAATTTTCTTAAAATATTTCAGATAAGTGGGAAAAAAGAGAATTTTTTTCAATAAAATAAATGTAGGTTAAACGGACACATAATGATATTCGAAATTAAATTCCCAAAATTTATAGACATCTCCTTTACTACAAAATCAATGTCTCACCGACACATACTGAATTTAGGTAAAACGTCGCCCAAACTAAAATGTTCTTTCCTAAAACTTTCACCTCCTGGAGCTTCATATATATTATATATAAAAATCATTACAAAATTATAAAAAAAATAATGATAAATGTATGAACGTAAAATTAAAAAAAATATATTATATAAAAATTCTACATAAAAAATTTG